GAGCCATTTGCCATATTAGCAGCCGTTGCAGCCTGGAGATTTTGAAAGTGAGGGTGCCTGGCGATCACGGCTGATTGACTGATGCAAGAGAATTCTGATGGTCCAACTAAGGGCATTCGGTTGCCCCCTGTCGCCAGTGCTACCGAATTGTGTGAGACTGGTGTACCATAAGTACTAAGGGGTACGGTTCCTTGAGGTTGTGCTATATTGACACTCACAGAGCCGGTCACGTCTGAAGCCTGTGTCGCCAGCGAGCCGGCGACACCAGTGGATGGTGAGTCCCCAAAAGAAGCTTGTCTTAGGCGCAAGTTACTTGAAGTAACCGATCCTATTTGGTTGCCGCCGCTACCGTAACTAGTTCCTGAGGCTGAGGTGGAATCCATATTGCTACACCCGGCGACAAGTCGGCGACGGAAGAGGCTGCGTGAAAACGGCATCTTACGAGGTGGTGGAGGTTTAGGAGGAGGTGCATTATGCGATTTCTGGAGATGGTTTGCAGCAAGCACAGCCAAAAGAGTGAATTGAGGCTGCAGGTAGAAAAATGTAAAGCGATAAAATTAGAAAAAATATAGTTAATCTCATATAGATGGATCTTGATTGAGCATATAGAGGAGAATGCTTAAGTTCACTAACACTTTAACCATAGAACAAGTTTATGAAACTATAATGGACAATTTTTCGTTTTATACGAGGTTTTAGAGACTTCAAATAGATCTGATTGATATAAGATTCACCTTATTTAGTTTAATATCATATAGAATTGGTAGTTGAAGCTTGTATAATAGGCAAAGTTAAGCCGACATTGCTGTTGCGTATGAATACCTCCCAGATGTAAAAAGCAGAATTTAAATGAAAATTGCCCTGAACCAAAGAAATAGTAGGGAGCATAAAAACAGCAGCATTGAAAAATATTTTTGAAAAATGAGAACAATTTGTATCAAGCTATACAGGCTAACCCTAAGTGTGCTATTACAATTTTTCGAGACGATAGTCAACAGTTACTTGACTCCAAATTATAAAGAATAGGAAAGAAAAATTAGGTTAACAATGAAAATATGAGAGAATAGTTTTTTGGATGTTTTTGTTATTAGATAAGATGGTAAATAAGCATGTTTATAGAAAACCAATATCAGTTGGTTCCTTTGTAAATTATCTTTCCAACCCCAGTCATGTCTTTCCTTGGATCATTAAACTTTAATGAGCACAAACTGGTGAGTTCTGAATGGTGGTTTTGTAAACTAACATTAATACGTGCAGGCTTACATCTCATTAATAAAGCCAGTTGCATACGGAATTAAGCAATCGAATTCATGCTTTTACTTAGGACACTAAGCCATAAAGACCCATGTCTGACAATAGACTTTTATAACTTCTCTGATTTATGACCAATATGGCGTATAGACGCTAGCACACAAACACACTTAAGTAAAAGTACAACGACCAGTAAGAAAGAAAACTAGCTAAATCATTCTATATTTATCTATATCTATACGCTTTCTTTTTAAATTACGAGTGTATGCAAGACATCAGAAAAAGCCAGACAGTCTTTTTGACCTAGCGATAACTTGAAACTTTTATAAGAATGAAGTCCAGCTCAGAAATGTGCATCATATGGAGGATTGAGGCTTAGCTCGGTTTCACCCGAAACAAAGGAAGATGTCTCATTGATTGCACAAATATATTGGGACTTTCATTTCGTATGAAAGTGCATGAAGAAGAGATTCCAAGGTCGATTTCACCAGAAAGAGACGGCTAAATCCCGTTGTACTGCAGCCGTTTGGCTTTTATATGAAGTTGAGATCGATGCAGTCCACAAGACCTCCTCCCTATTTCAGATGAAAACGGGCTGAGCATTCGTCCATCATATGATGGACATCATCAGAGCTGGGACTCATTCTTGTAAAATTCTCAAGTCAGCACTAAAACAAGAATCTCCTCTTCATACACTTTCATACGAAATGAAAGTCTCATCGAAACCCAGTCACTCATAGTAAAACCAAACGGCTGCAGAACAACGATAACCCCTAGTAGAAATAAATATAAGAGTAATAAATAGCAGATTACAACATGGATATTATGAAAATAAAATCGGGAATCGGGAAGACGACCAAAAATGAATATTGATACTGGCATACCCTACATTTCATTTGAGGAGAGTGGAAGGGATTCGTAGGTTGAGCTCACCGGATGCCGAAGAAAGGTTGCCTTTGACTTTAGTCTATTGAATTGTGCGAAGGCGACCTCGGCTCACCGTCCTACGATCCCGATGATTCCGTGCTAAACCTTCGTCCGTCATGTGATCATTATTTACGAACAATCACCAAAAAATCTAGACCAAGAAAGGTGGCCATCTGAGATCCTACTTACTTCCTATACCTCACTTTGCAATCGTAGTAAAGCATTTTATGATTTAGTTGGCTAAATTCACTATGGAGTTAGAAAAGGACAGTAAGCTACCCTTTTTAAATGTCCTACTTAATAAAAAAAAGCAACAAACTGGGTATAAATGTATATAGGAAACTCTCAAATGCAGGATTCGTTAATTTTTTCTCGAATCATACTTGGGATGTTGAGGCGGGAGTAATGAAATCAATTATAATAAGGAGTTTAGGTCTAGCGGACGTAAAGCATCGGTAAAAAGAGTTAGAAAGGCTGAGAAAAATCTTGGCTGAGAACCATTATCCGTTAGGATAAATTGTTAATAAGTTCAAAATAATAAAAAATAAGGTTAAAGGAAACCAGTATTTGAGACAAAACAAGAAATTACACAACTCTTTGTCCAGGTTCCTATGGCTACTATCCTACAAGCTCTCAAGGAAAATAGACGAATTACTGAGGAAATTGAGCGCCAAGACAATGTATAAAGGAACAATAACGCTTTCCTTGATCATGCCTCCTTTTAGAGAATCTTCAGACGCCCTCTGGGGATCAGGTTGTTATAAGTTCTTGTGCTCAGGTGATAGTGTTTATGTGGGAGAGACTTGCAGACCCATACAGAAGAGAGTATCAGAACACAGAACCGCCTGTAAAGGTTTATGGATTCGGAAATCGGAGGTGACTGAACATGTGATCACTACAGAAAACAAGACAGAGTGGTCTAAATCCCAAAGTTGTGTGGGATATGGGGAATACTGGGGAGTCGATTGAAATTAACAAAACAAAGATCATCCTGAATAAGAGAGACGAATTTAGGAAACTAAGTA